TTGTTTCCGATTTGTTCATTCATTTTTTTTTAAAAAGTTTAAAAAACTTTTTAACAAATCCGCATCCTATTTCCACTGCTAGTAAGTGTGCAGCTCTAATAGAATTAGGACATGGCAGTGGTAGTATATTATTGTTCCTCAAAAATGAAGAATTACTAAGAGATCTAAAAAAATATTTGACGCATAAAATAAAATAATGTAATTCATTTATATGTATAATTAATATTTAATTGTATTTTCAGATAAAATGTCATATGTGCCGATATAAGTACCTTATTTGTAAAAGCATACATAGTAACATCCAATTTTCACTATATCTCCTATTTTTTGGACATTTTATTTTAGCTGCTCTGAAAATTTCAAGAATAAGATCTGATTGGCTGTTTAAAATATTTGAATCTTTTAAATGATCATCAAGTGTTGATTGAGAAATTGACGCGTCCGCTACGTCTTTCTTGTCCCCTCACGGCGCGCGTCAGTCGGACGGCAGGTGGTGCTCTCTATTTCTAAGTATTAAGTACGATACCTTTATAATAAAATATTATTTATTCAAATGTCTAATCTAATCTCTTAAGGTCTTTAATCCTGATTGCACCACTAAGACTCAGTGGACACCAAAAGTTTCGGAACGCAGGGCCAGAATAGTTATTCTTTAGATACATATTTAAAAAAGAAAAGCGAAAATAAATAAATAAAGATTAATTTAGGTATAGTGTAATCAATAAAATAGTTAACTAACTTTTTCTTAAATCTTAATTAAGTTATATAATAATAATAAAATGATATAATTCAAAATAAATAAATTAATACATAATACATTATCATAATTGATCAGTTATTTTAAATTGATTCTACGATTGTTATGGGAATTTGAAAAAGTATCAATAATTTCATCTAGGTATAAAATCTAGTAATTTATCCTCACTTTTTTTCTATTGATATAACACTCAAATTCGATTAATTATTGTCCAGGAACGAATTCCTTAAATACATTTTTATTCGTTTCATACATGAAAAGGTATGTTCACAAACAGATGATGATATAGGTATAGTTATGGCGATGGAACATAGTTTAAAAATGTCAGTAAAAGCTATTTGATACTTACATAAAAAAGCATAAAAAACATCTGTTATTTTTAATTTGAAGTTTTTTTCTTATATATTAATAGATTTTTTTTAATTCTGTTTTTAAAGAATCTAAATGACTTGAATAGTGACTTGCCAAATACACAATTAAATGATAATCTAAAAAAATGGGGATTAAAGGCATTCATTAAACACAAAATATTAGAATTATCAGTACACCGTTTATCTAATTCACTTATTATATTATCCAAAATACTGTAGAATAAATCAGTTTGAAATTCTTTTTCTGATAGTTATAAGATAGCCTTAGTGATGCTATTCCTTGCGACCAAAAACATTGTTATTAGTACTTAAAATATTATAATTACAATTTAATTACCGTAAAACGGGGTGAATAGAAACACTTTTGAAATTTGAAGTATCATAACTATTTTATATTTAGGCTTTAAACATGATCAATACATCAAAATATTATGTATTTTTTTACATATATAACATTGTTATTAACAATTTTTTTTTTTTTTAATAAATATTTTAACAAATTAGTAAACTTAAACACAATATAAAAAAAGTTATCTACCATTAAAAATAGGTACAGTCTTTAAAATATTTTCAATTCAGTCTTAAGGGTGTCTTTCCCGCATTCAGACTTAATTTATACCGGTAATATTTTTGACTAGGAGTTCTATTTACAATCATAATTACATTTTAATATACCTCTGCCATAAGGAATAGGTTTTTCTAGTTTTCCTACTACTTGAGAAGTGCTAAACTCACATACATCACGGACCACTGGAAAGCCATACACCATACCTTTGTACTCCCTTGTTGTTTTGCTTCTTAAAAAAATTTCAAGAAAAATTGTTTTATTTTTTTTATATAATTTGGCCAATATAATACATATAATTTGAATTTTTGCTACAGGAAGGTTTATAATTAGTAGCCATCACAACTATGTTTCTATTCACCACTATAGTCGGGGACACGAAAAATGAGCGTTAGTACCCACTCATGTAGCCATTGGTTCTCAACTTTGTACCGTCACGCTGCCGTTACGTATCGTACTCACGGGCACGAACAATGAGCGGTAACCAGGTTTTATAGGGTAGGCCAGCTGTAGTTCTTTCAATTCATTTGTATTCCTTATATCCCAAAAAAAAAATAGACATTAAATATTGGAGGGGAACTGCATGCACAGTTGTACAGTCGTACAATGTTTTGTCTGTTCTGTCGTTTATACACTGTTCTGTAGTAAACATATATTTTGTGCGTGCCACGTTTTTATTATTTGTGAATATTTTTATTTGATAAACCGTTTTTTTATAAAATGTCGTTTAAAGATCGTGACACTCATAGCCAGAGCAAAAAAATGATTTATAATGTTTATAATTTTATTAAAATGCTGTCGGAGAAAAAAAGATTTGACACCAGACTTTTTCAAAAGTAGCCAAAAAGTCGCTGCTGAAGCTTGTGGCGTTTCATATATAACGCTGAGGCGTATATGTGTAGAAGCCAAAAAATCTACAGAGCAGGATGTTGAGGAAGGACCATCTTTTAAATCACCAAGAAAATTATATAAGCGTCAAAAGAAATGTACGGAAATGGATGATTTTGATGCTGACGTAGTTCGTCGAACGGTACATTCGTTTTACGATAAAGGTGAATATCCAACTGCTTTATTAATCTTAAACGAACTTAAAAAAAGAATGCCAAATTATGAGGGATCCGTTAGGTCAGTCAGAAGGCTGTTAAAAACTTGAATTTTTCATTTAAAAAATGTAATGATGGTCGAAAAATGCTATTGGAACGAAATGATATTGTTGCTTTACGTTGTAAATTTTTACGTAACATTTGTACACTTCGACAAATGAAAGATTGTCGACCAGTGATTTACCTAGATGAAACCTGGGTAAATCAGAATCATTCACGATCTCATATTTGGCAAAATAACGAAGGAACAGAAGGGTTTAAAGTACCAATCGGTAAAGGAGGTCGTCTAATCGAGTTTATTATGCAATATTTATGATGATTACAAAAATGGGGAGAAAACGCATGGGGTGGAGTACAGATAGCGGAGGTATTTTACAATTGAAATATAGATTTAATATAATATAAATATGAGTTTACTAAAGATAGTGGTAGGAGCAGTCATAATTGGGCAGGCAGGTGGTCCAGGCTCAGCCATGCCTCGCTCGAACTCCGGAGATGTGTTCGGTGTAGACATCTCTGGTGTACCCGATGACCTTGCTAACACATAGCTTCCGCATGAGCTTTGCGTAGGCTCTGCTGCACAGCTGCCTCACCAGCACGTCGTTGGCCGGATCCCAGGAGCCCAGGGAGCCAACAATGAACGGGAACACTGTTACCTCCCCAGGGTGTTCAGCAGCGATCTCCTTTCTCAGCTCCTCGTATTTGGCTCTCTTTTCGTCTGCAGCTTCTTCGAAGGCCTTCATCCTGTTGACGAAGGGTACTGTGGTATCAATAATCAAAGTGGTTGTGCCCCTTCTAAGGATAAGGTCGGGTCTAAGGCGCTGAGCGCCAATCGCCTGGTTCTCCGACACGACCTCAAACTTCCCGTCGGCCGCTTTCTTCAGTCGAGCCACAAGGGAGTTGTGTCTCGCCATGAAGAGACTGGTGTACCGCATGCAGTGGTTAACGACGTGGGCGAGGCTTTCAATATTATTCCCACAACGTCGACACCGGCGGTCACCAGTCCTCCAGGACGAGGAGCCGTTCAGCGGTACTAAGTTCAATCTCGCACGGTGGACAAATCTCCAGTCGGCAAACCTACAGAAGTCACCGGCCCTTAGGAAGTGATTAGACGCGGCGTGCGCAGCCACACACTCCATGGCTCTGCCCTGGTCCGGTTTCTCGATCAGGGTCGTACCTCTGACAGCGCGGAAGTGGTCGCGCATCGTCTTCATCACTTCCCTCCTCTGTTTTGCGCGCATCGTAGTTCCGGCATGTGTGATGGAGGGAGGACCGTCCAACGACCAGGACGCGGCCAAACGCCCGGAGGCGTTGCGGGCACGGGACCAGACACTGGCAACCCCACCGCCACGCGTCTCGCGGAAGGGCCCCTCGTTCTCGCCGGAGAGGTAACTACCCACTTCAGAGTTGGAGGGAATCCGGCCAATCCTCCGGCGGGTTACGTCCCTCACATGGTCAACTGCTTCCCTGGTGACCCGTCCATCAGGGGAGGTGAGTAACTTGAAAGCGCTGTCGACAGCCGCGATGTCGGAGTCCTCCGCTAGTTTTGTTATCCCGCAGCATCCGCGGAGGGTGGACCCGTATAGGTACTCGTTGGAAGCTTCCTGCGGGAGGTTTAGGGTGGCCTTGATTTCGGGCCTCAAGATTTCGTCCACTGTCTTCCAGTCAGATTTCGAATAGGTTCCCATACGCTGCAGGTGAACCGCAGAGGGGAAGAAGAAGGTTTTGAGGGCGTCGATCCTCTGCCAAGGCGCTAGTTTACTTCTGGCAAGCTTCAAGCCTAGGTCGATAATGTCCGCAAGCGTTGATTTGTGGGGGATCACGTGAAAGCCCACCTGGGCACCGAGGAACGCGGCTGCATCACCTTCTGCTAGAGGCTTCATGGGGACTCCCGAGATCCGAAAGATGCTATCTCGCACACCAACAGGGGTACGCCCCGACAGATGGAGGGAAGCACACTTACTGGCGTTGATGCTAAGCCCTAAACGTTCGAGTCCTTCCCTGGCATCATTGATCTTAGACTGGAGGTCCGGCGCATTATCTGCAAGTAGGCACAGGTCATCCGCGAAGGCCAGGACCCGGTGGCCAGCGTCTGTACCTTGCAGCGCCGAGACAACTGGGTCTACTGCCATAATGAAGAGCAGTCCGCTCAATGGGCACCCCTGGCGGATGCCAGACAGCACGGGTATGTTAGGGGTCTTCCCCTAGGCAACACTCACTGACGATGTTGCACCGCTATAGATGTCCTGGACAATCCGGAGGAGCCCCTCGCCCGCGCCACAGCTCTCAATGGCTGTCTCAAGCGCCATGTGGGGGATTGCCCCGAACGCGTTGGACACGTCGAGCCACGCCACACACTTGTCGGATTTGCCAGTCCGGGCTTTTTCAAGCTCGCGGTTAAGAGTGTGGACGTGCTCAAACGCACCGTCCGATGGGAGGAACCCCTTCTGGCAGGGGCTGAGGACTGCATTGCTCACCAGCCACTCCGTGAGGCGACCTGCAATACAGCCGGCATATAACTTGTAGATGGTGCGGCATAGGGAGATGGGCCTCCAGTTACCCAGGTCACTCTTGTCCCCCTTCTTGAAGATCAAGACGGTCACTGCCTTCTTCCATGACGGGGGAACACGACGGTGCCTTAGGCATGTGTTTATTACCTCGGTTAACAAACTGCAGGACGGGTCGAGGCGTCTCCAGTGGTGATATGTGAGACCGTCATCACTAGGGGCCGTATTCTCAAATTTCTTGAGGCGTTTCACGACATCGGCAGAGGAGAAGGGTCCAACTGGTACGGGGGTACGTCCCTCCGTACGGGGATACACCGATGCGTCGCACGCGGACGGGGACCAAACCGACGCGAAGTGGTCCGTGGTTTCACGCGTTCCTACGCTGCAGGAGGCGCTTTCGCCAGACGTGATCGCGCGAATTGCACTGCGTCGGTTCCTGCGATAGAGTGACTGAATGCCCTGGGCGTCATTCGGGTCAACCGCCGACCTCTTGCTAGTGCTGCCCTCAGTCCTGGTAGGGAGTTTTGCTGTTGCCGCAGCCGTGGAGGTCACCTCTTCCATGATAGTGCAGAATCGGTCCCAGTTCATCCCCGTAGCCGGAGCTCTGGCAAGGGCGCGGACTTCGGGCAGGTACACATGTATCGGGGTGGTGTCGTCTGGGGACAATATCAAGGCCTCACCGTGGGCTGCAAGATCGCCATCGCCACTCACGGGGCTCTCACCTGCGTCGTTGTCGCCCTCTGCATCATGGGCGTCACTGAGACCGGACGAGGGTGACGCCGTGCGCACCGAGTTCTCGTCGTGGTCAAGGACCGGGCTACCGGAGGTCCTAGCGGGTTGCAGCGAGGGAGTCGGGTCGCGGCAGGACCGGGGTCGTGGCGTCCGTTCAGTGGTCCGCGTGATCGTTCGTGTTGATCTCGGGGTGGAAAAAGCTGATGTAGCTCTGCTTGGGGCTAGGGAGGGACTGCCTGTGTCTGAGCTGGATGTTAGTGCCCTAGAATCGTCTATATCCTCGTCGGAAGAACTAGTTGCCTGATCGAGCGTGTACGTTGACACCGAGGCAGAGGCAGCTGTGGTCGCTATGTTTGGGGCTAAGGAGGAACCGCCTGTGTCATTTCTGGGGGCCTGTGTCCTTGGTTCTCCTGCCACCCCGTCGGGTGAACTGCCGGCAGGGCTCGGCGTTCTGGGGTCTGGGTCTGCTACTGTGGTTCGACCGGTCGGTGGCCGTGCTACCGGTATACGCGCGTCACCACCTCGGTGAGGGCGGGCAGGTGTCGGTTTGGTCCCCGTCCGCGTGCGACGCATCGGTGTATCCCCGTACGGAGGGACGTACCCCCGTACCAGTTGGACCCTTCTCCTCTGCCGATGTCGTGAAACGCCTCAAGAAATTTGAGAATACGGCCCCTGGTGATGACGGTCTCACATATCACCACTGGAGACGCCTCGACCCGTCCTGCAGTTTGTTAACCGAGGTAATAAACACATGCCTAAGGCACCGTCGTGTTCCCCCGTCATGGAAGAAGGCAGTGACCGTCTTGATCTTCAAGAAGGGGGACAAGAGTGACCTGGGTAACTGGAGGCCCATCTCCCTATGCCGCACCATCTACAAGTTATATGCCGGCTGTATTGCAGGTCGCCTCACGGAGTGGCTGGTGAGCAATGCAGTCCTCAGCCCCTGCCAGAAGGGGTTCCTCCGATCGGACGGTGCGTTTTTTTAAGAGTGTCTTAACCGCGAGCTTGAAAAAGCCCGGACTGGCAAATCCGACAAGTGTGTGGCGTGGCTCGACGTGTCCAACGCGTTCGGGGCAATCCCCCACATGGCGCTTGAGACAGCCATTGAGAGCTGTGGCGCGGGCGAGGGGCTCCTCCGGATTGTCCAGGACATCTATAGCGGTGCAACATCGTCAGTAAGTGTTGCCGAGGGGAAGACCCCTAACATACCCGTGCTGTCTGGCATCCGCCAGGGGTGCCCATTGAGCGGACTGCTCTTCATTATGGCAGTAGACCCAGTTGTCTCGGCGCTGCAAGGTACAGACGCTGGCCACCGGGTCCTGGCCTTCGCGGATGACCTGTGCCTACTTGCAGATAATGCGCCGGACCTCCAGTCTAAGATCAATGATGCCAGGGAAGGACTCGAACGTTTAGGGCTTAGCATCAACGCCAGTAAGTGTGCTTCCCTCCATCTGTCGGGGCGTACCCCTGTTGGTGTGCGAGATAGCATCTTTCGGATCTCGGGAGTCCCCATGAAGCCTCTAGCAGAAGGTGATGCAGCCGCGTTCCTCGGTGCCCAGGTGGGCTTTCACGTGATCCCCCACAAATCAACGCTTGCCGACATTATCGACCTAGGCTTGAAGCTTGCCAGAAGTAAACTAGCGCCTTGGCAGAGGATCGACGCCCTCAAAACCTTCTTCTTATCCTCTGCGGTTCACCTACAGCGTATGGGAACCTATTCGAAATCAGACTGGAAGACAGTGGACGAAATCTTGAGGCCCGAAATCAAGGCCACCCTAAACCTCCCGCAGGAAGCTTCCAACGAGTACCTATACGGGTCCACCCTCCGCGGATGCTGCGGGATAACAAAACTAGCGGAGGACTCCGACATCGCGGCTGTCGACAGCGCTTTCAAGTTACTCACCTCCCCTGATGGACGGGTCACCAGGGAAGCAGTTGACCATGTGAGGGACGTAACCCGCCGGAGGATTGGCCGGATTCCCTCCAACTCTGAAGTGGGTAGTTACCTCTCCGGCGAGAACGAGGGGCCCTTCCGCGAGACGCGTGGCGGTGGGGTTGCCAGTGTCTGGTCCCGTGCCCGCAACGCCTCCGGGCGTTTGGCCGCGTCCTGGTCGTTGGACGGTCCTCTCTCCATCACACATGCCGGAACTACGATGCGCGCAAAACAGAGGAGGGAAGTGATGAAGACGATGCGCGACCACTTCCGCGCTGTCAGAGGTACGACCCTGATCGAGAAACCGGACCAGGGCAGAGCCATGGAGTGTGTGGCTGCGCACGCCGCGTCTAATCACTTCCTAAGGGCCGGTGACTTCTGTAGGTTTGCCGACTGGAGATTTGTCCACCGTGCGAGATTGAACTTAGTGCCGCTGAACGGCTCCTCGTCCTGGAGGACTGGTGACCGCCGGTGTCGACGTTGTGGGAATAATATTGAAAGCCTCGCCCACGTCGTTAACCACTGCATGCGGTACACCAGTCTCTTCATGGCGAGACACAACTCCCTTGTGGCTCGACTGAAGAAAGCGGCCGACGGGAAGTTTGAGGTCGTGTCGGAGAACCAGGCGATTGGCGCTCAGCGCCTTAGACCCGACCTCATCCTTAGAAGGGGCACAACCACTTTGATTATTGATGCCACAGTACCCTTCGACAACAGGATGAAGGCCTTCGAAGAAGCTGCAGACGAAAATAGAGCCAAATACGAGGAGCTGAGAAAGGAGATCGCTGCTGAACACCCTGGGGAGGTAACAGTGTTCCCGTTCATTGTTGGCTCCCTGGGCTCCTGGGATCCGGCCAACGACGTGCTGGTGAGGCAGCTGTGCAGCAGAGCCTACGCAAAGCTCATGCGGAAGCTATGTGTTAGCGAGGTCATCGGGTACACCAGAGATGTCTACACCGAACACATCTCCGGAGTTCGAGCGAGGCATGGCTGAGCCTGGACCACCTGCCTGCCCAATTATGACTGCTCCTACCACTATCTTTAGTAAACTCATATTTATATTATATTAAATCTATATTTCAATTGTAAAATACCTCCGCTATCTGTACCCCACCCCATGCGTTTTCTCCCCATTTTTGTAATCATCATAAATATTGCATAATAAACTCGATTAGACGACCTCCTTTACCGATTGGTACTTTAAACCCTTCTGTTCCTTCGTTATTTTGCCAAATATGAGATCGTGAATGATTCTGATTTACCCAGGTTTCATCTAGGTAAATCACTGGTCGACAATCTTTCATTTGTCGAAGTGTACAAATGTTACGTAAAAATTTACAACGTAAAGCAACAATATCATTTCGTTCCAATAGCATTTTTCGACCATCATTACATTTTTTAAATGAAAAATTCAAGTTTTTAACAGCCTTCTGACTGACCTAACGGATCCCTCATAATTTGGCATTCTTTTTTTAAGTTCGTTTAAGATTAATAAAGCAGTTGGATATTCACCTTTATCGTAAAACGAATGTACCGTTCGACGAACTACGTCAGCATCAAAATCATCCATTTCCGTACATTTCTTTTGACGTTTATATAATTTTCGTGGTGATTTAAAAGATGGTCCTTCCTCAACATCCTGCTCTGTAGATTTTTTGGCTTCTACACATATACGCCTCAGCGTTATATATGAAACGCCACAAGCTTCAGCAGCGACTTTTTGGCTACTTTTGAAAAAGTCTGGTGTCAAATCTTTTTTTCTCCGACAGCATTTTAATAAAATTATAAACATTATAAATCATTTTTTTGCTCTGGCTATGAGTGTCACGATCTTTAAACGACATTTTATAAAAAAACGGTTTATCAAATAAAAATATTCACAAATAATAAAAACGTGGCACGCACAAAATATATGTTTACTACAGAACAGTGTATAAACGACAGAACAGACAAAACATTGTACGACTGTACAACTGTGCATGCAGTTCCCCTCCAATATTTAATGTCTATTTTTTTTTTGGGATATAAGGAATACAAATGAATTGAAAGAACTACAGCTGGCCTACCCTATAAAACCTGGTTACCGCTCATTGTTCGTGCCCGTGAGTACGATACGTAACGGCAGCATACATGCTACATGAGTGGGTACTAACGCTCATTTTTCGTGTCCCCGACTATAGTGGTGAATAGAAACATAGTTGTGATGGCTACTAATTATAAACCTTCCTGTAGCAAAAATTCAAATTATATGTATTATATTGGCCAAATTATATAAAAAAAATAAAACAATTTTTCTTGAAATTTTTTTAAGAAGCAAAACAACAAGGGAGTACAAAGGTATGGTGTATGGCTTTCCAGTGGTCCGTGATGTATGTGAGTTTAGCACTTCTCAAGTAGTAGGAAAACTAGAAAAACCTATTCCTTATGGCAGAGGTATATTAAAATGTAATTATGATTGTAAATAGAACTCCTAGTCAAAAATATTACCGGTATAAATTAAGTCTGAATGCGGGAAAGACACCCTTAAGACTGAATTGAAAATATTTTAAAGACTGTACTATGTGTAATATATTAAATTTTTTATCAGGGACTGGTTATCAATACCAAGGTTTTAATTTATAACTTATAATTTGTATTTTGTATAATTTAAGTTTTTAGTTGACTATAAAAATGGTTTTTTTTATGAGGAACTGGTTATCGATACCAACGTTTTAATTTATAGCTTATGTATATTATTTTTGTATTTTATATACCCAAATATTTTATATTGTTTTTAATTGACTGTAATATTATAATAATGATTTTTTTTTAATTATATTATTATTATTTTTAATTTAATTTAATTTAATAGTACATGTTGGCAACGTTGCACTAATTTCCGTACGCAATCGTCATGTCTTTAAGACCTAGGTAGATAAATCGTACGCAATCGTAAAAACGTACCCAATCGTTTTACTAAATGGGACAATCGTACTCAATCGTATATCACCGTCCCGAACAGTGGGTGTTAAAAATTAATTCTGAATCAATGCTATTAAAGTCAATGACCAACAACAACAACAAAAACCGTACTAAAGTTGACAACAGACAAAACCAATATACTACAACACACAGTGTATAGTACTGTATACAAGGTGGATGCGCCCCGAAGCCAACGGCAACAAAACACGTCCTGAACACCAATCTCGCAAGAATCTAGAGGTGTTTTCCCCCGCTCAAGTGAACGAAGATTCAATCGGGTCTCCCAACTGGTGTCCCTGTCACTCCAATGCTATGGTAAATAGGCAAACACCAACATTAGGAGTCGTTAAGTCCGGTTAAATTGACAATCACGTCACACCCGCTGACCCAATCGAGGGCACAAGTGTTGCCGACAGTGGCGTATTTTCAAATTTTTCTGGGGGGGGGGGTCCTCATATAAACTATGATATCTTGTAAAAGTTACGTTCTTATGCAGTTGTTGGAGGATGGAGCAAAATATATAATCGTATAGTCTAATGTAATATTATATTTATATATATATATTGTATTTAGCACTACATATCAAGTATTGTTATAAAATAAAACCAGTCGTCTCGATTTTTTTTTCAACTCCTCTATCACTTCATCGACAGTAATTTCAACTTCCCTGTGAATATTTAACATGGCCAATCCATTTAGTCTTTTCTAAAACAAGATAACCACAAATATTAGTTTTAAATTTAAAATTTCTCAATATCATTTTATTACCTCAGATATTGTATTTCGTAGATATGTTTTAATTCTTTTTAGTGATGAAAAAGTCCGTTTGTTTGAAGCCGTAGATATAGGAAGTGTAGACAAAATTTGAAATAACTTATTAACTCCCGGATATACGTGTGCATTACACAACTTCAGTGCGTCAATTGAATTTTTTGGTTTTTTATCCAATTTTTTAAGTTTCCTTTGCCACAGTTGGAACTTTAAATCTTCTTCGTAAAATTCAGCTAATTTTTTTAATTCTTCGTCGAAAAGAGAGTAAAAACTTGACAAAATATCAATATGATTAAGAAATCTAGATTTTAATTGACTTATAAAAGAGTCTAAGTATGGAATAAAAACCGATATGTGAAAATATTCTTCAGGATTATTAGTTTGTACATTTATTCTGTGTACTTGTCTTTTATTAATTCTAGGAATTGTCATTGTCACATTGAACTTGTTAGCAATTTGTTTGGCAGCTAAAAAAATGTCTTCAAAATTTTTCTGAGCATGTTTTCTATAATCTTCTAACTCGATCAAAGTATCTTACGCTAAATCCATGGCCAATTTTAAATCAATATTAATTTGTTGAAACTGTTTTGATAGTGGGAGTCCAAATCCAAATACTTTCGAAATTTTAACTACCGTAATTATAAATTCTGTTAAATTGTCCGATATTTTTGACAGTTTGGTACGTTTGACATTATTATCTATATTTGGTGATATTGGTCGTTTATTTGAAGAAGTTACGGAAACTGAAGATTTGTGATGGTCAAATTGCGGAACATTTGTATCTTGGATTTTTTAAAAAATTGGCTTAACGAAATTTGCTGAGACATAATAAAAGCAATATATTGTAAACTTACTTAATATTGACAAAAATACAATAAACATTTGTTCACTGGTTCACTCGTTACTCTTATAGCTGTTGAAGGCAAAATGGGACTAACATAAAATGTGTAATATCTTATAAAAGATAAGAGCCACTAATTTATATTTTATTATACCTATCCACTTATGGCTATTGGCTACACAAATATTACTAATTGCATCAATAATCAGTTTTTCTGTGCGATAAAGTTTATATTTCAAAGATACGGGTACCTACTTAATACCTATTTCTTTTATCGCACTTCGTATTAAGTCTAACTTGAAAATCGTCGTCAAAATAACATAACTATGAATGTGTAATTTCTATACTATTTTGTTCACGGGAAAAAATTATGTCCGCTCGACCGAATCGGCTTTTGCAAATATGTAAGTATGTAAGAATTTTAGCTTTTTTTTTTAGAAAGGTTCTGGGGCGTCCAGTATCCCTGGACCCCCCCCCCCCCCCACCGTAAATACACCACTGGTTTCCGACATTAGGAATCAGTGAGTCTGGTTAAATTGACAATGACGTCACACCAGCAGATCCAATCGAGGGCACAAGTTGTGATGGGCGCAACCGACTAGTTTTGACTATCGATTGTCCATCGGTAGTTTCAAAAACTATCGAGTGATTTTTCAATTTAATAGATATTATTATTCATTGATTGTTTTTAAAACCATCGAATGAATTCCTCGATAGTTTTCATTCGTTAGTGGAACCGACTAGTTTTGACTATCGATTGTCTATCGATAGTTTGAAAAACTACCGAGTGATTTTTTGATATTTATAAATAGATATTTTAAATGTTTTTAAGCATTGTATAGAATCGTATTGTCATTATGACTTATGAGAAGAACATTGAGGGTTAGTATATTTTAGGTAATTTTGTGATTGGTAAAATCTGAGGATTTAATAGTGTTTTTGCTGTGTGTGATTTGTAATAGAGGGACAGTTGATATACTAAAACACTATAAAGGTATACATTTTATCCAAACTAGTTGGCTAAAGAATTAACTAAAGAAAAGAAACAAAATATTTATTTTCAAAATTTTTAATTTAATCAACATTGTAATCAACATTTCAAAGGATTCCAATATGTTACATTGTTACAACAATTAAAAATATTCGTCCAGGACTACTAGGACTAGGTAGATTAATACAAGTTGAAAAACGTATAGGTATGCACTATGCAGTGTGTGCAGCAAGCAGGCTGGCATTGTTCACCCTATGTTTCATACCGGTGCAACTCGTTTGCGCACAATCCAAATTGTTTACCTAGATATCGATGACTCGTTTGCGCACAACGAATACCGTCGTTAACCTAAAAACGGACGACTCGTTTGCGCACAACATAAACACTGCATAACATATATTTTATATTTTTAAATTTGGACTAACTTAAGTAATTGATTATCAGTACATCAGAATATTAAATATTATAATATTATAATATTCAATATATCATTATCATCATTGAAAATAATCGACGTGTATTAAACATAATATTTTTAAGCAGTCGTTCTCCAGAAAGCGGTACTACCTACTGACTAGTGACTATGGATATCGAAATTTGTGATATTTTTGAAAGAGAATTTCGAACTTTAAAATCTAGTGATACACATTTTAGGTGTACAAATAAAAAATGTTCCTTGAGTGATGTAGTAAGGTTAGTTAATAATAAAAAAATATAAAAATTTAAAAATTAAAAACACGCATAGAACAACTATTACTTCTTATTAATTGTATAATTATATATTTATTCAGAACAGACACACACGACATGCACATTTTTAATCTGTACAAAACAGATGTTCCTAAGCCTATATTAAAGTGAGAAGAGAAATGTGCTGTTCTGCTCAAAGTGAAATGTGCGCAAATGAGTTGTACCTTTATAATTTAAACCCAAAATATGTGTGCGCAAACGAGTTGTGATTTTGTGCGCAAACGTGCCGTAAAAAAGGTAAATGTGCGCAAACGAGTCGCACCCGTTTCATACTTACCTTATCTCAGCTATAAATATATATGTATAAAATAGCTAAAAACAATAGCAAATTTATGGGCCAAGATAAATACTTAAAACCTTGTTCCAGACATGTTTTTAAATAAATATTACAACCGAAGACCTAATCTTATATGACCTTCCAGAGGTAAAATCTGTAGAATCTTCAAACCAGTTGAATATTGTTTCTGCAAAATACACAAATAAATATATTTCAACTTTAAACTATAACTAAATTATATTAAATGTATTTCTTTAATTTTTAATCATAAATCATATACTTTTATACCTTTTTAAATACCTTGTCCCTTCCTTTAGTTACAACTAATTAAAGATTAAGCTTACATGTTTTTGTATAAAAAAAATTAATAAATCTAAATTTTTAGGTAATAACCTATTGCGCCGATCGCTTAGTATTTGCCCTGCCTTAGAAAAAATGCGTTATGCTAGTACTGAGGTTCCTGGAACAATTGAATACTTAAGTGCAATATCACTCAGTGGAGCTAATACAATCTTGTGTTCGTTCCAAAACATAGCCACATTGCTCTTAAAATCTTGATGAGGCATATTTATGTACTGATTCATTAAGGATGTAGCACTACTTGTTGTCATGGTTTGTGACTGAACATTAGTCACTCTAAATTGCAAAAAATTCCACACATTATCGACTTATTCATTTTGATCCTCTTATCGTGTAGCTTGTTCTATAAATAAATATAAGATGATTAATTTATATAAGTACCTATTAAAAAATCTCAACATTTTGAATTGCATTATTTAAAAAAAAAAAGATTCAATCAAAACTAATTTAGACTTATAATATATTTATTGAAAGTTATTAATGATGAAACAAATTTGGTATGCACTTCCATTTTATAAGCTATTTATTTTTCCATAAAGTTATACCAAAATAATGTAGGTTAGTTAGATAATTCTATCTAATTAGTCATTTTATCTTATAGATCAAAGCTTATCAAAGCTGCTGTTTCAGTAACCAAAAATGCCTCTGTATCATTGGCATTCTGTTCCAACCCAAAGGCAACTTTCTTACACCTTGGGTTCAACAACGTGGCTCTAGATAAATGCGGTGTTAATCCTTGTTTTTCTATACTCTCAAAACACTTAGCAGTATTGTCTATCAGTCTTTATTTTATAAAATTTCCCAGTAGTGTTGTTAGATTTTTTGATCCTAATGAAATTTGCAAACCTATAAATAATAAATAACCTTTAATATAAAATATAAAAATTAAATTGTCAAACAAAAACAGAATCATCAAACTAATTACTAATTACTAATTACCTTGTATTAATGAAATAACTGTTGAGATTGTAGGATATTGTTCTGCAGAGAGCTCAACTCTATCAAATGGCCTTAGCAATGGTACTATAGCTTCAATTACATTCCATTCCTCCATTCCTCTTACTCCATCATCTTTTACCTTTAGGACATTTTAAAATATAAATAGCTATCACTTAATTAGTAGATTATCATCTACGTTCTGTTGTCACAAATTACTACCATTTAACACCTTAAAATGTTTGTCTACAAATGGTCCAACAGATTAGTTGTACCATTAGATCGTTTATAGGATTTTTTACAGTGTTTACAAATGGCCACGTCAGGGGTATTTGGGTCCTTTAAAAAATGCTCCAAATGCATCCAAACGATGGAACAATTTGTCTTTGGGATAGACATTTTAAAGACAAAAATAAAAAATGAAATAACCAACCTCGATAGTCGAATCTCGAATGACAACATCATGGCTAAATAGTAAGGCTAGAATTAGTGCTCGACCGACGGTCAGCGCTGACGTCAGTCGAGCGTAGATATATCAAAGGATGCATATGAACAACTACAGTGCAGCGCTGAAAAGTTGATAGCGCGTAGAGCTACGTCGGGCTGACGAGGACCGTCGGTCGAGCTCGTCCGTCACGCGTACGTCGGTCGACCGACGGGCCATATCGGTAAATGCTGCCATTTAGTTTGACGCTGATCGAGCGACCGACCGTGAGCGCCAGGCTAGTGCAACTCTATAGTGGGGATTTGAACGATATGGTTTACACAACGCAACCACCGTTAGCGCTTACAGTACTACATTGTTATCAACTATTGAACTATGCTATGACTTATTTTATGTCAGTAGGTATGTGATTCCTGATTATGACTTGTTCGAAATTTGCTATTGCAACGTTTTTTTCATGAGTTCTGTTGAAGTGTTTAATGTTTCGGTGTTGAATGTTGATTTATGATTCGGTTTTATACATTTATTTTATACTTGTTACTGATATACAACATACATCGTTGATCATCATTAGGTATATTATTAAATAGTCAATTAATAATGCCTCCGAAGAATGCCTTTAGATGTGTTGTGGGTGGCTGTAAATCGAAAGGTATGTCATTTCTGGATTCATGAACTAACAATGTTATTATATACTCTTTTCAGAATAAGAACGCACCAGATTTGCGTAACAAAACCGGTTTTGTCCGTGGCCGCCTGGTTCCTTCTTATTCTGAAAAGAGTATAGGTACTTATTTTTGCATTTCATTATATATATATATTTATATATATT